CCTTCTAGGGCTGCCTGGCCCTCATCCGCGGTCGACATTGCAACCTTCTGGATCATGCGGGGGAGGCTGTCCTTGCCTCGCATGTTGTAGGGGGAGCACTTGTCCAGCCGGGGGAGTGGTGAGGGGGCAGGAGGTCAGAAGATGTCCTCGACGCCCACATCCTGGACATAGGGGTCGGCTGCGGCCACGGCTGCGGTCACGACGCTGGTGCCTCCGCGACATTGAGGATGGAAAGAAGCTACCTGTCTCCCTGAAGCAGGGCACTCGGACAACAATACACTGGCTGCAGGGCGTTGATTGTCGACAATGATTGGCTGATGGGTTGAGAGTGGTTGTATGATACTCAAAGGTCGGTTGCCGACAGTGGATTAATGAGGGGGTGACATTGACAGGCACAAGACAACCGGCAGGACATCCCGTTCACGGTCCAAATCCCAGAGGTGTTGGATAGTGGTATGGATGAGGAAATGTGTGGCCATTGTGGCAATGAAAAGTTGAAAAGCTGAATCATTGAGGGTTGCCCACCCCGTACTGTGCGCAGGGACTTCAAAGGCACACATCCCGCCTCCCCCTCGGGCCGCACGTACTGCACCGAGGGGTTGTGGGGGTTTGAAGGTGGCATTGCGCCACTGAAAGGTTGATATTGGCAATGACGCCAATGACTTCAGAAAGCTGCAAGAAAGGCAGCAAAAGCTGCAAGAAAACGGTCCTCCAACTTGTGATCTGGATTGGTGGTTGGGAGGTTGGGTGGTTTCCCACTTACCCTCCCTCCACTAACATGGCACCTGACAGGGAGTCCCTTGAAGAGGAAAGTGATCTTCCAGGTATCCTCTCCCAAGTGCTATGTCAGTGGGAGGAAGGGCATCCTCTACAAACAAGGGTTCCAAGCCCGACACCACCCATCCAAGCCACCAATTTGAGGAGCAAAAAACCAAAACCGCCCAGCGAAGGCCGGAGGCCTGGAGCTGGGCCTGTAGCTGGGCCGCCTGCAGCAGCTGCGCCTGACACGGGACAGGCATCCGCAAGTCACTCGGGTGGCCATGGGTCAAAACCCCAGTTAGCCCCCAGTGAACATCCCAATCCCCACTAAAATTGACTAAAATGAGTGGTGCACCCACCCCAAAACGGCACCATTGGTTTGACCCACAGCCAAGTCTCTGTGGAACTCAGAATGTTGACCCAGGAATAAACCCGTCCCACTTTTGGGGGAATGTAAAGTGGTCTGAATCCCCACTGAAAGGGGGCACCCCCCAATAAAAATCAACCAGGGGTTTATTATCCGGGGTTAACATTACTGCGGATGGTTGCGACATGAAACCATGGTTGAAACCAGAACGTTCCTTGGTATTTACATCATCCTTCCAGGGCTTCTTGGTGTCTTAGGCGGTGCAGGATTGCGCCCATCCACGGTACACACACGCATGTCACGGCAAACACGGTATATCCGCAAGCTTGGCAAGAAAAAGGGAGGATATCGGATATCAAGACCCCTGCAAAACGTAGGGCAATTTCTTTGGATTCATTCGCGACAACGCAGGCAGTCCGCCCAAGAAAAAGGGAGTCTCAGGCCAACAAAAGGGGTGTGTGTGTGTGTGTGTGTGTGGACTTGAAGTATCTCTAGCAGCCTATCACACGAAAAAGCCGCGGATAGCTCTTTCTGAGCTGTTGAAGTTGTGACGGCACCCCCAACGCCAACACCCTTCACTCTTACGAGCTCTCCGTTGGCACAATGTCTGGAGTTCCCAGTCTCAGCACACCCAAGGCCGGGCGCTGCTCAACTAGCTGGTGATGTCTGGTTGTGTCTTGTGGGATTTCTTGTGGCAGCATAAAAGGGGCTTCCCAGAAAAGGCAAGAAACGACACCCGGCGTCATCCAGTCATCCTGGACTTGAAGGGAATCTCGTCGTTTGGCCAGGCAACTGGTCGCAGGAATGGGCTAACCTCCTGTTGAAACAAGCTTGTCTAAGGCTCCACGGGCTCAACCACGTCCCAAGGTGACGTACCCTTTGCCATCGGAAAGACGATAAGAGCAGCTGACCAGGCCCGACGCGCAGTGAGACCTACAGTGTCACCCTCAGCGCCAGGATGCCTGTGGCACAGTCCGGAGATGGATGGGGAGATTCTGCCGGCTGGGCGATTTAACTCGGTACATGCTTTGAACTTGTCCACAAAGTGACCCATATTCGAGACCAAAGGTGCTTCTTGAAGATGGACCCACGGCTCCCCACAACTTCCTGCATGACTTGGTAGCTAACCCGCAAAGTGTGAAATCACATCGCGGGGGGCCCACTTCTGGCTCCAAAACGCGTTGGCAGTGTCTAGCCCAGGTTCCTGCACCCAAAAAACAGTATTCAGCAGAAGGACCACCCCTTAGTGCTGCAGTGGTTCCGTATACTTCGGTTCTCCACATCACCCCGCCAAAGGAAACTCGCTTTACATTGGCCCAAAGGTGATGCCAAAAGAACATCACGTGGTAAAGATAGCGAACCCTGCGTGCCCACAAGCTTATGAGAACCTTGGAAACCTCTGGATGCACAAAAGTCACTGCTTCTGCCTCAGCCGCCTGACCAGAAACTCTGCTCCCCACAAAGCCAGCGCCTGGCAGCATCCATCTGGACTCCAGATATGAAATTCCGGAAAGTGTCAAAGCAGAACCTATGGCTGAAGGGCCTCCAATGCCAACAAGTGAAGCAGGAACAATGAAGACAAATGGAAAGGGACTCTCTTGCACAGCGAAAACCTCTTGGAAGCAAATGACAGAATTCCTGTCAGGAGTTAGGGCAAAAACTGACAAGGACTCACTGAGCACAAAGCAGCGGCCAAACATGGGAAGGTCCACCTGGCTTTTCTGTCTTTGCTCCCACGCACCCTCCGCCCCCTTCCCCGCCCACTTTTGGCCAGCGCCCCTCCCCCACGCGCCTTGGGGACAGCTTCACCTAGGCGTCTGACGAAAGGCCTTTCCCCAGGATCAGCATTGTTGGTTTGGATCGGTGGTTTGGAGCTGAAGGTTGTTGTTCCTCTCCCTCTCCAAGGGTTTACACTTCTAAATCACCACTCCAGACTGGAAACCAGCAACTGAGAAGAGCCTGACAGGAAGGCTCGTGGAACGCAATGGCAAATGCGGTGTTTTGTTCGAAAAATACAGCAAGCAAGCAACCCGTTCCAATGTCCTCCAACAAAACATTCCCACCAACCGCCAAACCCCCAAACCCCAAACTTCCATCCCCCGCCGCACATCCCGCGAGCACAAGGGAACTCTCACGTGCGCCCGACTGTCGTACCTGTTTTCACGCTGAGCCTGTTGCTCCACGGCCCACGTTCTCTGGCCCAGGTTCATGGACAGCGCCCAGCATTCTGACCCGTTGAGCTGCTCTCTGCTTTCTCCCTACAACTCTCCCCATGAATTAGCGCGAGCTTCTGCAGAAAAATCGGGCTGCCAAAGAGCCAAAGCCGGCAACCACAAACGGTGCCTCAGCAAGGCTCTGAGCACTAAGAGAGTGCTATCCTTTGAAGGTTCGACAAAAGTGGGGGAGTGTAACCGTGTAACAAATGCCTGGCCTGCCAAATAGAACGAATCAAGAATACAAAGGGATGCCACCTGTTGAGCAATTAGAGGGAATTGCAAATCCAAAGCCCTTTCCTGTGAACGGGTGAACGGGACGAGGGCCGAGGGCTCTCCAAGAAATCTGGTGCCATGTCAGAATTGGTCCCGCATATGAGGCGGGAGCCCAGGTGTGCAGGCTAGAGATGCCAGAAGAATTGTGTACAGACCTGTGTTTGGGGCGCGTTTTCTTTCTTCTATTTTTTGACACGCACTCGAAGAAAGGGCATGCCAGACTCCCTCTTTGGAGCCTGTGGATGTTGCAGAACGCCGGCCCCAGAACCCCGACGCTCCCCTTCACACGGGTCTGAAATGGCAAGCGGGATTAAAACCAAGGTGCGCGAGATGGCTAGAAACGCCTCTGCACGGCCACTCATGCACTCATGCAAATGTCCAGGTACAAAAACTCCCAGTGGCTGCAATAGCTTTCCGCACCTAGCCCTGGCTGATCAGCTTGGGCTCGTTTGGCGAGCTTCTGGCACTCGGCCGTTCACGGGATTGCCCGTTCTGGGAGCCATGTGCATTGCACCGAAGTCCCCTCAGCCCAGCCCGATTCATCAGGCACACGGCAGTGCGAGCTGAGGGCGCCAGCAAAATAGACAGTTGTCAGCATGGGAAAACCAAGAAAACCAGCAAAAGACACCACGGAAAACAAAGGGAGCGAGCCCCCTGCAATCTGACGCTCCCATTCCCTCGCCAAGCAAGAGTGGCTGGGCATGGCTGGCACACTGTCGAGCCAGCACTTTGCTCGTGGCCCCTCCCTCCAGCTTGGCCAGGCAAAAATTTAAAAGAAGCCTAATCCAACAACCAGGGTATCATTCCGGAGCCTGTCTGGTGAGGCTATACCCGGGATGATTTCAATGCCTGCCCCCTCTTCCTTAGTCGCTTGCCTCATTCCTCCACTCAAGGTGCTGCATTGAAGATCATCACCCGTGCATGCTGCTGTCAGCCCACAAAGCCTTACGCGGGGATGCTTTATCATGAGTAAACTGTTCAGCACGAGTTGTCCGCAAAATGATGTAGTCGTTCTTGTTGGCCAGTCTGACAGTGTCACTTGAACTTACCGCCACCTCTCATCTTCTAAAGGAAATCGTGCTTTCTACTTGAGACAGATTTCAGGGTCGTAGTTCCCATAGGTTGGGAAACGACAGGACCTTGAATCTTAGGGTGGAATATTGGCCCTATGAGCTCGTCTTGGGCCCATCTTGCAAACATATAGTCGCCAAGACTCTGCCAATCCTAGGCTTTCAAGCTTGAGATCCTGGCCCTTTTCACTGTTTTCTTCTGTTGTTTTTTTGACTTTTTGGCGCCCCAGTAGATAAAGGCCAGATGCCAAGCCCAATCAACGTCGACTTTACCGGAGAGGGGTCGGGCGCTGTGCAAAAGACGGGGCCGGTGACTCACTCCAGGCGCAAGGACGAAAAAGCATCTGCCACAAGCTGCACGCTTGCCTGTGGCTGCCGTGGGCAGAAGGGCCCCTGGTGGAATCGAAAAAGCAAAAGGAAATCCACGTGTAGAAAACTCGGTTGCTTTCTGCTCCCCTGCTAAAAGCTTAACTTTTAGTGGTTTAATGGAAAACCCGTTTGTTGGCAAAAAGTGAAAGTCCTAACATCCAAGCAAATGCACCAAAGAAAATAGGCTGGCTGTCCAAGCACGAGCCCCCTCTTCGAAGGGAGAAAACTAACCTTGAAAAAGGTCAAATAAGCACAACTGAATATTCTTCCTGAAATCATTCATCCTGCAAAGAATCTATGACGGAAACGGTCCTCCTGGTCTTCGTTTCTTTCTTCCCCCTTCGTTAATGTTTGGTGGGCACTCTTGAGTGTCCTGCTTGAGGCTTCAGTACGGGAGCTGCCACATATTGTCAACGTATACACGCGCAAGCCTATGCTTCCGCAAACATGCAAGCAAAAAAAGATGTTGTTTGGATTTTCTGAGCCTGCTTTGATCAAGATCAAAAAAAAAAGAAAAGAAAAGCATTAGATTACAAACGCAGAAGTCATCATGTGCACTAGAAATTTTTAGATGTACAATGCGCAGTGTAATGCATTGCAGTCACTTAAGATCGATGGAACCTGGAAGGCTCATGGGTGAGCAACGAGCGGTATTGGCTCCTTTTTCGCCTGTGCAAACTCCATGCTCCGAGCTGTTGCTCGCTTTGCTGCCGCAACCTCCCCTTTCCCCCGGCCCCCCCCCCCCACCAAACTGCCCCAGCCCAGGCCAGCAAAGCCAGGCCGCTGCTGCATCCTCGGTGCGCGCAGTGCCCATGTGAGTCGCGAGGCCGATGAGGTTGGAGAGGTTCATCCGACGCAGGGACTTGGTGAGGTTACCTCAGTCGACACGAGGCAATCCTCCGAGTGTGGGCTGAGGGCGCCTCTCGCTTGCGAGGCGCGCCCATGCAGGGACCTTGAAATAGAGGGTTGTCCGTCCGTTTACAAAGGGCACTGCGGGGAAGCGGTTGTTGCGCAGCGCATCTCTCATATACTCTGAAGCGGCAGTGAATCATGAAATCCAGCCTGGCAACCCTTCCCTTGATACCAAACTGGGCCACACCTGTGATACTTTGTCATGTTCCGGGGGGAGATCTTGGTACAGAACGCGGCCCTATTCCACAGCGAGTTGCCGCTCAAACCGCGCATGTGTCCGAGGCCCACACGCACATCCCGCTCGAGGATCCAGGCCGGCATCGGCGGACATTCGGCGGCCCCCTCCTCAAGTTGGCGCGGACGTCTGCCATACCGAGAGAACCGCTGCGGGGTCTTTTAAAGTTATGAGGCTGAGCTGCAGCCGAACACTGGAAATCAAGTCTCGAAATTAATGTCCACAGGAACGTCTAAACACTCCAAAGAAATGGCATCCTAGGCTACACTGACTCTGCCAAAATGCATCTTGGGCAAGCACGAATTTCCTGACATGTGTTTGAGAAAGTGTCCAAGCTTCACTCTCACCGAGTAGCCCTCCAAAGATGCATGTTTGAAGGCTTTACCAGCCGAATATGCAACTTAGCTTGTACATATGCATTTTCCCTAGTCCTCGAGAAGCCCTTCAAACATGCATTTTTCAAGGGGTCCTCGGCTCAAAAATGCATATGTGGCTTGTAACAATGCATTTTCCAAGGTTCATTGAAGGCTTCGGCAATTCAACTATGCAATGTTAGCTAGTAAATATGCATTTTCTCAGGCTTCCGAGAAGCCCTTCAAAAATGAATCTTTCAGGGGGTCCCCGGCTCAAAAATGCATATGTAGCTTGTAAAATGGAATGTTGAAGGGGTTCGCCAACCCCAAAATGGAATTTTACCTTCTTCCAAGACACTCTGAAACAATGCATTTAGCTAATATGCATTTTTGGGCTCGGGAGCTTTTCAAACACGCATTTTGGAGGGAGGAGGCATATGCCATATGGAATTGTTTATCAAGAATGCAGATGCTTGAGTTGACGCGATTTCTCCAACTTGCGCCACACTGGCCAGCCTCAAGGCACCCTCGCTCCAATCACGGAGGCTGGCAAGCGCCGGACTCTAGACGTCGCCGACTTTGCTTCGGGGAAATCCGTCCACTTCCCTTCGGAATCCCAAAACCAAAGGAGCCAAGTTCCCTCCTCCAGGCGTTCTAGGAGCTCATCCGCAAGGGACCCCAGCTCCTGGGCCTGCGCATCCCGCCACCAAAATCACCGCAGGCGTAGGGGCGGCTCAAACCAGGGGGTTTCCCTGCCTTCTCGTGTCGAGAGGAATTGGCTTACCCGGGAATCACAGAAAAAAACAAAAAACAAAGCACTGCCACCCAAGCTCTAGACGCGCGGCTCGAAGCCTGCGACAAAAGGCGTACTTCATATATACGTTTCACTTCCCTTACAACAACTGAAAGGGGCTCAGTATCTGGGTATTTGTCAAAAATAGGGGTCCCCTAAAATGCGTGGGCCTTTTTTTTGGCTTCCCCTAAAATGCCTGGCCCAACATTTTCAGAAACCCCAACTTGAGAAACCACACCCCTTGGACCGCTGGACCGCCGGCCTTGGTGCGGCAGTAGGGCAGCACCAGCGCCAGCAGTTCCCGGCGGCTCAGCTGCTGCATGATGCCCCGCTGCCTGCGGGCTCCAAAACCGCGAGCCCAGTGAAGGCACGGTGGGATGGGAAGGGGGCGAGGGGCGACCCCGAAAACCAGTTGTATGGACGAAACCACTGTTCTTGGTTGGGTCTCGTGTTCGCTTCCATGCGAAGGCAGATGGACTGTTAGGATGCGGCAAGCGGTTTTTTCAGCTTGGTTTGCTTCAGAGTTGGCTTGTGCGTGCGGAGGGGGCCAAGGCCAACCGAAAAGAACCAGGAAGGAAGCCGACAGCAAATCGAAAAAGAGGTGCACAGAACAACAAGCAACTTCCAAACCAGTTGCTTCCGCCGCTTGCTCCAGTTAAGAAATCGACGATCCACCCCTCGCCCAGTTAAGATCCAGTTGTGCCAGGACCTAAGGCCCCCTCGTTTTCTCATTTTGCGTTCGATCTAGCTGAGCCGCCAAAGGCCCCACGGAGCTGTTTTGGAGCCCCAAAATCATTCAATGTCTGGGGTGTCAAGCGTTGAAACTTGTATTTGGTCCCAGGCATCAATCAAAGACCACCGCATACAACTTCTAAAGTCCCAAGGTTTTGTCAGTCACCACGAACTCCTTCTCCCCCCCCCCCAAACGCGCCTCTTGTCCAGCTTCGGAGCCTTCTCCACATGGTCCATGTGGCAGTAGTTGCAGGCGCTGCCGCTCTTGCATTCCCCGGCCGCCAGGTAGATACAGGCCCTTCGGCACAGCTCGGGGTGGCCCAGGCTGCCAGAGCTCGGGGCCTGGCGAACTTTGTGCTTGCGTCTGAACAACTGGAGGTGCAGGGGGCCTTGAAACCAGAAGTTTTGCTGGTGCCCCACCTGGGCGTCGGCGTGAAAGTCAGCCTGCGTGACATCCGAGCCAGTGGTGCTCAGCGATGAGCCAGTGGTGCTCAGCGATGCCAGGCTTCCGCAGCCGCCAAAGAAGAGGGAACACACGTAGACCTGAGGTCATTTCATGCTCAGCTGCCGCACAATCCACAAAGAATTCACCACGCCCGTGCGCAGGAAAATAGTTTCCAAAAGGCGTCTGCGCAGGATGATTGAAAGATACGTGCAAAATACACAAAGCTGGTACTTGGTGTGATCGTTTTGGATGACCCAAATTGCATCTCATCAAAGCAGTGCTTTTTCCCCCCAAGGCCGCCTGCATCTCCGCCTCTTCTTGCTTCGCCGGCGTCCATTCGGCCGCCCGGTTTGCAAGGGGTGGGGCACTGCTGGCGCGGCCAGTTCGAACTGAGCGCTTCGAGACTTCCTCAGTGCAGCTATCACTTCATTGGGCCATGGTCAACAATTGTGTTCTTTTAAGTAACCAACCCCAATTTATTCAGTCAGCATGCCACCGCATCCCTTTGGCGACCGCGCATGACTGAAATTATTGCCCGTTGCCCATTCAGATGGGTGGTTTGGACGGGGCTTAAGTTTCCCTCCTCCCCTTTAAGCAAGTAAAGGGGAATGATTAGCCCAAAAGCATGTTGGCGCTATGTTTTGTCACGCTCCCGATCCTCCCACTGCGATGATAACACAAAAATGAGAGTCTTCCACGACACTCTGCAGGACTTGGCCCTGTGCAAGCGCAGCTTTGAGTTTCTCTCTGCACATTGCTTTGCACAATTGCCTTGCGCAGGTTTTGTGTGAAGGCTCTTTCCGACTGCTCTGTGCGAGCTGCTTCGCGCAAGCTGCTGTTTTGGCACTGTTGGTGCACTTGCGCTCTGCACAAGCCGCAAGTCTGCGCGTCAGTCTCTGCGAGCGCTCCGTTGCTTTGCGGAGGTTGCCCTGCACAAAGTCTCTGCGCAAGATACGCATTGCAAGTTGCTCTTTGTAAGTGCTCTGCGCAAGCTTACGCAGACTAGTACTCATGCCCAGACTATACACGCACTACGCGCGCCCAGGCTATCGTGCCCAGACTATACCCAGACTACTCGCCTCTGCGCAGGTGGCTGCGCGCAAGAAGCTCTTCGCAGATGGCTCTGCGAAAGTCTGCGCAAGTTTGCTCTGTGCAAATGAGTCTGTGCAACTGACCCAAGTTGCTGTGTGTAAGAAGCTGTGCGCAAGCTAGCTCTACGCATAGCTTTGTGCAAGTGGCTCTGCGCCAATGGCTCTGTGCAAGTTGCTCTGCGCAAGTTGCTGTGTGCAAATTGGTCCAAGGGCTCCGCACGGAAGAACCCTTCGCCATGCTTCGTGAACAAGGGATTAAAACCCAAACCACCAATACCAAGCACCAACTAAGGGTACTCAGTATCAGCAAATTGAGGGATTCCTTACGCATGCCTCCCAGGCTATTTGGCACCCGCTCCTCCACATCGATGAAGCTGTTGCGGTAGGTGAGCTGAAACATGGCCGTAAGGGAAGCCCACTGGACTGAGGGATGCAAGGGTCTGGGCCAAAAGGCGCTGCAAAACCCCGGGCCAGTCCTTGGCTCTCTCCATGTGCAATGAGTCAGTGCGGTTTCCCTTTAAAAGGTGGAAAAAGGATCCCAATGAAAGATGAATGGTTCTGGCTCTGAAGCCCCTGAGAAGGAAAGCAGGTGACTTCTGGCCGTCTCAACTCTTTTCCGCCTGGTAAAAACAAACTTCCATGGGTAAAGAAAGGCCAATCCCTGCAAGAGCCTCCTCTTTCAGAAACGCTCTTGACGAGTTGGCATCCCATCCAACATGCCCCCAAGACAAACACAATGTGCAAAATAGAGCCATGATAACAGCTCCCGCAACAAGCTTGCAACGAGCCTACCCCGCACGGGTAGAGGGTCCGGTCAGTCACGCTGGCCTATTCTGGCCCTGTGGCTGATAAACGACCCCACCCCGCAGCCAGCACCAGATGAACCATAGCCAAAGCACGCATCCTAGGAGGCAATGACCCCTTGCAATTGCCTTGGTCCTCTAAACCAGACCAGTAGCCGCCATGAACAATGTGTTTTTCTTGCCCTCCCTTGTCATCATGCTGGGCCAACAGCTCGGTTAGGTGCTGACCTTGTGACCCCGCTTCCTGGTGCTGGCAAACGGCCCCCACAAACAACTTTCGCTGAGGAGGGGCGCGCAAATTCAGGCCCAGCGGGAAACCGCGTGGTGGTTCGCAAAGCCCGTCGCGCTTGAAAAACAAGGAGGGGGCAAAACAAAGGAATCCTTTGGCCTTTCACTCATCTCAGCTCCAAAAAAGGGATGGAAGTAACAAGTCCTGGCTTCAGCTGAAATCGAATGCAAACCAAAAACCCGCTCAAAATTGGCCATGGGCTTCGCGAGCCAAAAGTGCCTGGGGGCTTCGAGTGCAGTGCCTTGCGATGATGGCGCAAGCACATGCAGTGAAAAGCTGGTATTGTCAACGTGTTCGAACATCCTGTTGGACACACACACACACAATTCTCCGCACCCATCGGTTTCCAACAGGTGTTCAAACACAAATTGCAAGGAAGGCATGGCCAGCAAGACTGAAAACTTGATCGAACAGAGCGGTGCGCCACCTAGCTTGGTCTTTGACTCACTCGAAAAAGCCGAACAGTTTTGACAGTTAGTGAGGAAACAACCACTTTCCCAAAAGGTCGTACTAAAGAGCAACCAAGCTGCCTGCATGACTCACCACAAGCAGTTCTCCCTGAGCCTTTCCAGCGCATCAGCTAGGCGCTGCGCGCTGTCCTCAGCGAACGGAAAGCATGCAGGAAAAAATCTGGCAAATCACAGGAATGTCCCATTTCAGGGAACTACACAGGTCCCATTTGTTGTCCAAAGCTCGTCAGAAGTAGTGAAGAACCAAATCGTTATATAGATGCAGCTGTGTGTCAACGGTACTCCCCTCCCTGCATGCATGCATGCATGCATGTGAGTGCTTGTGTGCTGGGAGGGTGGGTGTGGCTGTGTGGTGCGTGGTGGGTGTGGGGGGGGGGGGGGGGGGGGGGTGGAAATTTCACAAGTGCAAGCAACCATGACCAAAAAATAGAACAATTAGAGATCCAGAAAAACATCTATCCAAAATATGTTGATGATTCTAGTTGGTTAGCAGAAGTACAATATTTGGAATGATTAAACGATTTAGGAAACAAAGTGTCCAAGATTCTAGTAGACCCAAATGGTTGAAATAGTTAAGGAGGCAAAACATGGTAAAATGGTTTCAACTTTTTAAAATAGTGTCCTCTGATAATGCTTTTTTGGCACATTTGCCATTCCCCCCCACCCCCCCACCCCCCACCCCCCCCCAAAAAAGAAAAAAAGAAAAAGGGGAATTCTAGGAATTCTATTTTTACTATTTTTTCCATCAGCAACACAACAAACAGAAAACAAAATCCAGAACAACAAGCAAACAAAATAAATAATCACAACCAGCAACAAAAATATTTAATCACAGCATACAACATTAAATAATTCAAACAAGCATACCAACAAAACAGCAACACTCTAAACCATCAAAGAACCCAAACTCAAACACACACATCAACAAAAAAACAAAGCAACATACCAACAAAAAAATATCAGAAGAGTATCAAACAAAATAAAAACAAACAGCCAAAGCACGAAAAAACTGAAGAAGCATACCAAGTTCAAACAACGCACTTTGAAAGAGTCAAGCAAATTAGGAAAATTAAAATATTTCAATCTTTACAAACCATAAGTTCAGTATAATTATAACATATAAGATTTTACATGTTTTTATTATAGTATGATTATAATTTCAGTACATGATAATAATTTAATTGATTTGTCTTGCTTCTTTCATACATCATTTTAGAAATATTATTAATATCTCTCAATGTATTTTGAATATTAAACTTTTTACTTTCAATAAATAATTTGATATTTTCTTTAACATCTTCTCCTTTCTCTTGACTATAACCCAACATCCATAATATCATAAATCATGTCATATTTTCTTACTGATTTTAAGAAACTGTTTAACATAATCGTAAGGTGGTATTTTATTTACAGTTAGAAATATTAAAATCTCATCTTCTACATTTGTATTATGTCTTCCTTTTATTCTCAACAAACATTTGATTAAAACTCTCTCCAATTTCTACAATTTTCACATTCGTCTTTTTCATCTGTTGAATAATTGATAATATTATTCACTATTTGTACAATTCCATATTTTCTTTTTTGAAGTGACAACAATCATAGCATTTTTTATTGATGTAATTATTGATTTTATCACCGTTCATTTTCCTCTTATTATATTAAGGCACTATTTCTTTAAGTCATTTTTGGCTAGGGGGTTGCTGGTTTAATTTAAATGTCTTAACCTTCTTGTTATATTATAAAGCAATGTTTAATCATATTATAATTACATATTATGAATAAACAAAAATCAAATTTCAGAATTGGTAATGCTACAAATGTCAAACTTAATTTACTTAAAATATGAATAAACTGAATCACTTCTGCTTTCCATCTTCCTATTCCATCCCACCAGTATTCAACCATTCTATTTTGGGTTTGTTCCAGTCTCTGAAAACACCCTCAAAAACTACCCACTAACACACCCCCTGTTCCACACCCCCTGTTCCACAAGGGTTGTGTTGGTGTCTTTCCTGTTCTACTTTTTAGTGGCATTTACAAGGGGGTTTGACGAACACACCCCCACTAACACACCTCCTGTGGAACGAGGGTTGTGGTGATAGTTTGCTTTGCCTATTTTTGCTGGAAAAAACACCCACTAACACAACCCCTGTGGTAGTGCGACGGTCTCACTAACACACACCCTGTGTTAGTGCGATGTGTCGACCTTTTGATTTCAAAATTTGAGGACAACCCTGAGTGTCCTAAAACAAACAAACAAAAATATCACTAATCAAATCAGTAGGAATTTTGTATAACTCATCTTGTTTATGTTTGATGTATCCCTCTCCCCAACTATCCCGTTTTCCTGAAGGCAACCGTTGTGCTTTTTCAACATGTTTCCCAATCCTAATTTTCCCACAATCCCTTTTACATAATGGTCTAGGTTTCCATGATGTTATGTTCGTCCAAAGCCTTGTTCGCTTCCTATAACTCATTCCATATTTACAATAATCCACATCATAGTAGTTTAAACCACTCATAAACGGTTGTTCCTTTAATAATCCAGTCTGAGGATTTTCTAACCAGTATGTCGGATTGAAATAATCTATAATTTCAATGGTTTTTAAAACGATACTATTAGCATAATCTATTTTTCTAACCCCAGTAGTTTTAGCACGACTGTATTCGGTACAAGGAGGAGATGCCCAAATCACATCAAACTCACCCACATCAAACTGCTTATAATCCCAACTCAAAATGTCAGTATTTATATCAGCATTTTTCAAATCCAATGAAATAACATTGAAACCCATTGCTTTTGCAACAAGTCCAACACTGCCTGTCCCGCTAAACATCTCTAATAAGTTCATTATTAAAGATATTTAGATAATATTATCTATGAATAAAAATCCCTGCTTCCTCGTTAAAAACTAAAATATGTTTAGTTTTCACCGAGTAAATGCAACTTTATGAAAAAAGTTGTGTTTCCTCATCATAGTCAATTTGATAAAATGTCATAGTGGAAGACTTCGGTTCTTTAATTTCTTTGTTATTAAGTTTGTTTAAATACACTTGTTTCTTATTTTTATATTCACCATTGGTTCTACCTACTTCTTTACTTTGATAACTGTTTGTTAATGGTTTCTTCTTTTCCATTTCTTGTAAGGTTGCTAAAATATTCTTATTCTGTTCTAAAACCTTATTCAGTTTTTTAACCATCTTTTCTAATCCTTCATCCATGTAAATTAAGACTATATTATAAAACTAAACTTTTAAAACTAAATGTTGCAATTATGTTAAATCTACTCTTTGAATACTAATTTTTCATCATTTCACGTAGGGTTTTCTGTGTGTCATTATCACCATTATCGGACGGTGATGCATGCCTTCCCCATTTGATAGCAATATTATGAACATCTGTTTCTAAGTTTATACTGTCTTTAGTTTTATCAATATTCCTTTTCTTATCATTTTTACTTATTTTGAAACTTGTCGGAATACACGAACATTTACAGTTTCCTTTTGTATTTCTAATTCATTCTTCATTTCTAACATATTTTTACACATTGGGCAAGCAAACTCAATAACTGATGTTTCTTTAACAATTTCTTCTTGTTCTTCATCAGTTAAAGAAACAACTGGTTCAGTCTTATTCTTTTTCTTTCTCCCCATCTATATTAATATTTATACTTTTAATATATTGCATCACAAACTTAACTAATTCTAAAACAAAATAGCATACTTTTTGTATCTATTATCAGTTATAACAACTTGTTCTATATTCTCTACTTCATCTATTATATCAATATAATCTGAATAACTTCTATCCATATTAAGTAATAAGATGAAATAA